AAAAAAAAGTTTAGGGGTGGACTACCCCTAACATTTAGGGGGATGAAAAATAGATGTTGGCCGATTCTCATAGATACCGGATAAGCACAAAAAATTTCATCAAAATCGGTCAAGCCGTTTCGGAGGAGTATGGGAACGAAAACTGTGACACGAGATTTTTATATATATATAGATATATAATTATATTAAATTATAATATTATATATATATATATTATTTTATTTATTTACCGTTATAGAATATTATATTTTGTTTATAATTATTGAAAATCGTTTGTTTATGAATAAATTGTTCAATGAGAACACGTGCAATCGGTGGTTTAGTTTCAATCCACTACTTTTGTTTAATTTAGTTTTTATTACAGAGTTAGAAGGACAGTTAAGTTCGAGATTAGCGTTCATGCCAATGTTATTGTTCGTTCGGCAAGTTGCCCAAATAAATTGTCTTTCGCAAACTATCTATAGTTAAAAAGATATTTAATTAATTAATTGTAAGGCTATAGTTGGGACAATTATAATATGATTAGAATGATTAGAAAATATATTTAATAATATGATGATTAAAATATGAATACATGTAACACTAGATATACCACCATTTTTAGTATAACTATTTCTACCACACTAGTCAAAATGACTGGTGTATCAAAAAAATGCTTTTTGAGGCTTCCAGTCTTTATTTACTCTTAAAAAATAACAAAAAATGTTTAACAATAATAATTTTAATAGATAAATAGATTTATAGACATTTTTAAATAATAAAATGCTGAATTATTTACAGAACTCAAATGTTACATGAAGTAGAAATTTTGAATTAAAATGGCTCGACCAGTCAAAATGACCGGTCTGGTATATCTAATGTTAATTCGCGTTATATCGTACGTGAATTTGAAATAATTGGTATTAATGCCAAGAAAAATATGAGTTTCATAAATTAATGAAATATTTCACCATAAAAATATACTTTTGTGAAATCAATTTCAATTCTTTGAACAAAGTATAAGAAGGAACGATAAAATTTGTTTATTCAAATGATATTCAAATATTTGTTTTATTATAAGTTTTTAAATTTATATCAAAATATTTTTCATTCGTTCAAACAATTTGAACAAATTCATTTCTTTTTTTTCTTTACATCGAAGATCTAAGGGAAAAATAATCTTTTGATAACAAAAAAAAAAAAAAATCAAAAAAGAAGAAAAAAGAAAATGGGTAGGATCCATTCATCACAAATCTCAGTACCCAAGAGGGATAAAATGTTTATATGACTTTACGGTATGTTTGGCGGACGGCCAGAGGATACTGCGCGTGCATTTCATGTACAAGAATAGAATCACCGGCCAAAATCCCCCATGACTTTTCTCTCCTCGTCTTCATTTTGGCTTTCAATTTGGATGATCACGATAAAAGCTTCAGACAAATCCAGTCGATAACTCTCATAGAACGCAATCTACACTTATGAACAAAATATTTTTATTTTGTCTATTCCCCTAGCTTCTAGTAATTATTACGTATACTCATTTACAACTCACTTACCCATAATAATCAACCCTAGTAGCACAAAATATTGAAAAATATTGAATACATGTGTATTTAATAATAAAAAGAGATTCACACACATAATGTCTTTTTAATATTAAATACACATGTATTCAATATTTTTCAATATTTTGTGATACTAGGGAACATTCAAGAAATTATTTTACTTATTTGTTTTTATCAATTTACAATTAACAAATATTCATTTTTCTTTTAAAATACAGTTAAAAATTAAATTAAAAAAATATATATATTTTTATTCTTCAATTATAAATACTTTTTTTTATTCGTTTATAAATATAATTGTAATAATTAATTGAAAGAACTAAATAATAAATATACGCGTGGTTTTACAAAAAAAAAAAAAAGAAAAGAGTTTTGAAATTCATGTTATTGAAATTATACGTTTTTTTTCTGTCGAATGAACTTGGAAAAGATCTCCGTGGAAATCTTTGTAAGAAAAACTGTTTGCCAAGTTGAGAACGTTGGCCCTATTAAAGCATCAGAGCTTTGACGTCGATTCTTTGTGCGTTCTCGTTTTCAAACTGCGTCTTTCTTTGCGTTTTACGTATTTTTGTGTTTACCGTATACACTTCGTTTGGTATAACGACGATGGAAACATTCCTAATAATAATAATAATAATAATTGTTCATTGGAAAAGATTTCGATTTTATTAACATCTTTGGTAGGATAATATATATGTATATATACATATACATATATATTTTTTTGTTTAAATATTGAAAAAAAAGCAGCTGCAATTTATATAACGGATATATTTATCTTATACGTTAACAAGAGACATTTTGTTTTTTTTTTCTTTTCTAACATTTTTACTAAATTTGCAAAACACTGTGACAAAAATACAATGAATCACAGTACTATTCTCATTGTAAATTTGTAAACAATTGATACTTGCTTTAAGTGCAAAATTTTTTAAATTTTATACACAAAAAACCTCTTTCAGAATTAACAAACTTTCAAATTGATATAAATGTGATTGCAGAATCATTTTATTGTTATGGAGAAATATAATTTTACTTAAATGAACAAAAATTGTGTATGTGTGGTAAAGAGTATTATTTTTTTTAATTTTAATAATTTTAAAATTTAGTAATTTTAGTAATTAAAATTTTCTAAATTTTTCTAAATTTTCTTTTGAATCTTTTAATTTTTGTTTTTTGAGACAATTGGAGACACATTTTGAGATCAATTTTCTTATTCAATTATGTATAATTTTATTTCTGTTATAATAAAATGTTTTTTTTTAATTGCAATTAAATTTATATAAATTTTTAAAATATGTTTTCTCGTATAAGAATTAGAAAACATTACAAACAAATATGAATTGTTTCAAATTTACAATAGTAGTACGAATTACTCCTATGACTCACTGTATATATATATATGTATATATGTGTGTGTGTGTTGTGTGTATACGTGTATTTAAAGGCTATGGATGGATTTCTACTGATATTATTAATTTTCTTTTATGTAATACTAAATATATATACTATTAATTGGAAGATTACTTAAAAATCAGTCAGAATTTTGTTAAATATATTTTTCGTTGTTGTATAAGAAGAATAATACGTTGTTGTTAGGCCCAAATTATTGGGATAATATGATATACATTTTGATTGCGAAATATATTAATTACAATTTAAATATATCACAAGTTAGAGTTAAAGAAATATGAAAAACATTGTGAAAAATACAAGGAAAAAGACGTTAGAAAAAATACATCAGTAATCATTGCTTTAGTTTCCGGTTCTTGAAGTTTCTTCTTAATCATTCATTCAATCGGTAAAACACTGTTAATCCATTCAATTTATACTTCATTAATAAATTATATGTATATATATATATATAATGTAGCGAATATGTACTCGTATATCTTGTACTTAGTTTTTTCTAGAAATATACAATCTACTATAAATATAAGTCTTAAACGTTTTGGTGTTTACTAGGGACATTCCAATCTTATCGCAATAATATATTTTTGAGTATTATATAAGTTGAAAGTTCACAATCATATAGTAATATCAATACGACTAATATCATTCATGCGAAAATACGCATGCAATTAATTTGTTAATTCAAGCAATCGAATAATATATCTCGAGTTTTCTAAAATAAATAATCTATGTTAGAATATTTAGTTAAATTCACAAATTGACTAACGTAGAATAATAGAGAAGAACATGGAAATATTAGAAAAAGAAAAAATGTTTTTCTTCATTCGATATATAATCTTTGGAATATATCTCTAACGCTGAACGATAATACCCACCTAGAGTGCGTAAATAAGTTATTTCGTTTTGAAAGTTATCAGATCATACGTATCATGATTTTGCGTTGTATTTTTACTTGCCATTAGTTGCCATGCAAACGTGTAACCACTAAAATCATTTTTTCTTGTGCAATAATGATTCATATTTGTTTCTTCGTACCGTTAGTTCATTCACTAATTTTGCATTCTTGGTCCAAAGATTGAACAAAATGAAGACAAAAATAAGAAACAAACTATAGCTGCTTTCAACTTATCACTTTTGTTGCATCTTTGTCATTTTCAATAATATAATACGCTTTGATATATCAACTTCACATTTATAACATATTATTGTATGGTATGCACATTTATCGTTAACTCCAAACTCAAATTTTGACACGTTAGGTGAGTTTTATCATGTCAGTGTCACACATATGCTTCAATTGAAATTCAATTTTCATTTTTTGTTTTATCTAATGTTTCTTGGGCGTGCTGCAAACCGGCACAATAATGAAGAAGTAAGACACTCAACGCTTGCACTCGTAAATCACTCTGTGCAATTAATTTAATACTATCGTTTTCTCCGCTTTGAGATAATTCTAATCTTGAGGTAGTTTCAGCATCTAGGGCAGTTTTTAGTTTCCCTATCTGTGATAAAGTCAAATAAATAAATATATATATATGGATATAAAAATATAAAAGATACTTATGAAATTTTGTATATATATATATATACAGTGGCGGCCATATACTTACGTACACCTAGTAAGAATCGTTGTATATATGTTTATTCAAGAGATATTCAAAAACCAATTTAATTTTTTATTAGTCCCTAGCATACATTATTAAATGAAAAAAGAAAGGATTCTTTGTTCATATTCAGAGAATTTTTAATATTTTTCTATTCCTAAGTAAAATTTCTTGCGGACACATACTTACGTACATACGGAAATATTTATATTTTTATAGATATTTTCAACTGAAATTAACTTAAATTAACTCAAATTAAATTAATGCGATTAATATTTAGTAGCTAAGCCCTTATTCCTTAAAACCTTGGCACACTTACGTTCCATAAATTCGATAAGTCGAACGCATCGACTAACTGGTATTAAAGATCAAGCTTCTTTAATTATGGCATACAATTCGTTAATATTTGATGACTTTTGTTTTTTTTTTACATGTTTGTCCACATCAATTCATAACATTTTAATGGGGTTTAAAGTTCGGAGATTGTGCTGGCCACTTCATTAAACTAATATTTTTTTCACTTAAAAATGATTTTACCACACGTGCGGTGTGTTTCGGATCATTATCTGCTTGATAAATCAAATCATGCGGCATATACTCCTCAGCAAATGGTATTAACTGATTCTTTACAATATTTAGATAAACAAATTTGTCCATAATACCTTCGACGTGATGAATAGGGCCCGTACCGTTTATAGTCATTGCACCCCATACCAATACCGATCCACCGCCATCTTTTACAGTAGGTCTTAAACAACATTTCTTATATTCTTCACCTCTCCGACGTCTAACATACACTTTCCCGTCAAAACCTAATCTAATGAACTTAGATTCGTCCGTAAATATAACTTTGAACCATTGTTCGAGTGTCAAATTAATATGCTCTTTTGCGAAAGAAATCCGGGCCCAGCAATTCTTTTCTGATATGAATGGTTTTCTTCTGGTAGCACGCCCATTTAATTGAAATTCATTCAGTCGTCGTTGAACAGTCCTTTCACTTATTTTAGTATGTAAATTTACAGTTATCTCTTTATATATATCAACTGCAGTTTTAAATCTATCACCTTCAGATAGACGATGAATTTTTCGGTCCGTTCTTCTATCAGTTTTTTGAGGTCTTGACTTACGAGGAATGTTATCCGATGTACCATTACGTTCAATATATTTGACTGCTTGCTTAATGACATGCCATAACTGACAGTCCCAGCTCTGCAGATATTTGTCGATATGATTTTTCACTTTTGCGGAGACGTTGCACTAATCGTCGTTGTTCTGGCGCAATATTTTTTAACTTACTCATTACGAAAGACTTTATATCACGTCTAATTTATTCAAATTGTCGATAGAAACTTAAGAATACTGTTTACATTCTCAAAATTGAGCATTTAATACGACAAATCTCAGTGTACGTAAGTAGTTGTCAGATGCGAAATCTGTACCTCGGAATACAATGTTTACAAACAGCTTTATTTTTTGGAATTCATAGAAACGCTTTTGTTGGTAGATGCTTAACGATCAAAACTTTTTAGAAATAAAACATTGAATCAGATAGATAAGTATAAAAAAAAACATAAGAAAGTTTAAAAGTTAAAATGTGAAGTGTACGTAAGTATATGGCCCCCACTATATATATATATATATATATTAAAAATAACAATTACCATATCGTTCATTTTCTCAACGCGTTCTAATGGCTCCAGATACTTATATAAGAATTTTCCGGTATCCTTAGCTCTAGACATAAGACCGTCATCCAAATCACCTGCCACGAGAGGAGCTGCCACGCTTGGTTCAGCACTTTCCAGAAGTTCAGGACTTATACCCAAACCTCCAACCAATGAACTCTAGATGTTTCAATGATTTAATAAGACTTATTAAAATATCCGCAAGATCACGCCAGAACGATCTTGACCCTAAGAGCACGATTTATTTCAAAAAATTGTAATGTTATAGAAGCACACGATTATGAAATAAATTCAGCCAATATCGCATTTACCTGATCTAAAGTAGATCTGTGTGTACGACTGCTTGATATAATTGTTATTCGTAATAAAAATCAAAATATATACACATTTTCTTACGTTACAATATTCTTCCGCATTAATAACACAGTTCGATATAGTTTAACGAGTAATTATTGTATCTATTTGTATCATAACATGCAAGGAAATATTGTTAAGTTATGCTATTGGATCTTTCATGCTTTGTCTTGTTATTAATATTATATTTTTATAGTAGATTTTACTTTTAAAAATGGGATGATTGAGATTAATTTTAATGAGAATAAATATATGAAGCTAAGCGAAAAGCTACTAATGCGTATACATCTACAAAGAAAATATTATCGATTAATGTTATTAACGTTTGTAAAATTATAATATAATGTGCAATGAATTGCGTGTCGTAAAGCGAGCTTTCTCCAATTTAAGCAAAGTACGTGGTGTGTCAATAAGGTCTACCTTGCGGGATGCACAGGGACTTGGGGGAAGACTTCTAGATGCCAGACCGATACCGGAAGTTGGTGGAGCCAAACAACTAGTACTCCCAGCTTTCTTCAGGCCCAATAGCGTGTTAGCTATACTAGCCTTCATGGCCATCATACTTGCACCCTGATTAATTGACGAATGGATATTTCAATTGTTTATATGTATTTACAAAATACCGACGATGTGAAGTATCCGTAAAGTTAAATAGTTGATATGATATATAAGCTGGCAGTATATAGACATCTTGTATACACATTTTCTCCTTTTATAACTTTGTACCATGTAACGAAGAAGCATATTGAGATTAAAGATTCTATTATTAGCCTTGAAAATTCAATAAACATTTGGTGGTATCAAAAGCAAAGGTCAAGGTGCAAGCCTACAAAAAACCGTCATCATCCCGAGTGTAAATGCTCCTTTTTATTGCCAACATAGCTAACAATTATTTTGTTTTTTTTCTCTTTTTTTTTTTTTTGTACATAATATCGAGAATGGACTAGAATTATTACAAGTCCATTGATATTTGTGTTAATCCTTTTTCGATTATAAAATTAAGGAAAAAAGAAAATAAAAAAAATAGAAGAAAAAATCGAAGTATTTTAACCAAAAAAATAAAAGTTTTTTGTTTTTGTTTTTTCATATCTGTACGTTTGTGTTCGTTTTTTTTTTTAACCTCTATTTTGTTTTTTTTTTGTTCTTGTAAATGATATTATCACATTGATATTAAATTCAAGGTAAATTTACCAAAATTCACCAAAGCTATATAAATACTGGATGGACAATATTTCAAAATTGTCAATGTATTATGTTCAATATAATAAGACATTGTGTGTGTGTGTGTTATGTCTTGAGTACCTGAACATTTTCTTCACAACCGGTAAGAGATATCTCCGGACTTGACTCGCCAATAACAGCAGTAGGCTCTATTTCATCTGCTTCTAATGCCAATGCTGCTAAAGTTTCTGAACCGCATATTCCTGATGCTTGACAACGAACTTCACACTTTTTATGACACACCATACCACAATCTCTGCATTGTATCGCATCTTTCAACCAAATCTAAATAAAATAATAAAAAGCTGATATAGTTGATAAGTTATTTATTTATTAAATTAACCCCTTGTACTATTTTTACGGGTCTGACTCGTAATCAACCAAACATGAATGTAACGAGTCGTACTCGTGCGCTTAATATCAGAAAAGTATGAATGTTGAATAAGATCTTATCTCTTTTCTTTTCTTCTTTATATGGATGGGTATTTTATATTTTGTTTCCCAATACAGTTTACATGTTACTTAGAATACATTCTTGTAGTCCAAATAACATTTGAAAACTAAAGTTTCGAAACACTCGTTTCTTTTCGCAACCATTCAAGTGCATGGGTTAGGAACGGCTTGTTCCGAATTTCAGCGTAGTGCAAGGGGTTAATAATAATAATTAATAATTTCTTGACATTTTATACCTTTTTCGTGCAAAAATCGCAATGAGTTACTCTGTGGAAGTGAGTTCTTATAAAATCATGGAGTTTTTTTTCAGTTACTTCTTCGTTTTGAATTGGTTGAGCTCTAACTGTTTCTACATTTTCTTTTTTTACAGATTCATTAGAGATATGACGATTTGGCACATTGCTTTCCCACATGTAAGACATTAAAATGTCCCCGAAACAAAGCGTTGGATCAAAACCGGAGTATCCTTGCAATTTATTATTGGCTGTAGCTAAAGAAGCTATAAAAAATGAAATTATTTAATGAAAGACAGATAAGTAGTTGAATATTAATATTCATAATATATACATACCACTTTCCGGTGGCAATAAAGCATGAGATTTGAGATAATGACCAGTCGAAGATGTAGCACACTGTGCTACAATTAATTTTATAGGAGCGTTAATGTATCCTAATAATTTAGGAGTATATTCATAAGATTTAACACGACCCCATACACCTATATTTAAATAATGCTGCTCGGAATCTATTTGAAAATGTCTAGTTTCTTCGAAAGTAATCAAAGAAGCAAATCCTTTTTCTTTCGTAGTATAATATAAATCTGATAAATTAGTAACATTGCTATCATCGATAGGATAATATTGGACATTGCTAGATGTCGTTGATTGACTGGAAGCAGTTGAGATTCTTCTAGATGGTGTTTCAGGCATTTGAGTTGTTTCTTCTGCGATATGTGTACTACTACTTCTTCTTCTTCTAAATAATCTACTAGAAAATTCTAACTTATCTACATTCTCATTATCGGTATCTTTTGAATCTAACAATTTAATGGGACTTTCCAATTTCATTTTGCTAAGATCATCCGTACTGTCTCCTTTGATACTGGTAGAATCAATTTTGCTTGTTTTTTTGTCTATAATTTTGTCTATAACAGATTTAGTTTCGTTATCAGATTTGATAGTTGTTTGTTTCTCAGTGTCTACTTTGACATATTTTCTTTCCACTCTAATAATGAAACGTCTTTGTACAGCACTTTTAACAAGCTTTGCTACTTGATTCATATTAGAGATCTTTTTACCATCTACGGCTATTAAAATATCACCTTTTTTCATTTCAGCTATAGCTGCTGGACTTCCAGATACTATTGTTTCAACTAATACGCATACTTGGCCAATTTCAGGAACAAGTTCTTGTTTAAATACTACGCCAAGTTGTTGGGAACTAATTTTGCTAATAATTAAATCTAATACCATGTATGGTACACCATTATATTGAGTTAAGTGTACCCAAGGTGTCGAATCTACGCTCATTGTGCAGTGTACTTCAATTTGAGAAATATCTTCTGCGTTGAGCATGCTAGGCCCAACATTTAATCTACTAACTTCTAATAACGTTACTTCTAAAAATCCTGGAGTAATTTGCATACCGGCAACCTGACATAAATAGAAAATATTTTTCAAGTTTTAACTAATAATAATAATATTATATATAAAGGATTTTTATTATCAACTTACTTCAGATAGGTCCATAACTTCATCATTTAGTCTGCGGAAGAATGGTTTATAGCGCATTTTGTATCGTGGTAATGTATGCTTTCGACGTACAGCTCTTCTTATCTGTCCAGTAATTAATGATATTATTTGTGGTTGCAATTGACGACCTTGAAATTGAGATTGCACTTCCAATTCCAAAATAGGATCAGAATAAAAACTTAAGGACCAATGAGTATACGGTACACGTGTGAATTGCAATCTAGCTCTACCGGTGACTCGTTTAACTTGAAACAAAAGTGTCAATGTTAGTATTTAGGATTAAGTAATTTGATAATAAATCTTTGCAGTATCTTGCTACCTTGCAGAGCCATGTAAGCTGTTTTTCCCAATAACATTTTAACGTCTATGGACATTTGAAAATTTCCAGAATAATGCAAGTCGAGGGATAAGTCTAACGATTCCAATAAACCAGTATCTGCATCAATCTTAGAATCAGCTACTTCCAAGCCCTTTATCGTTGGAAATTGGGTACCCAGATTTAAATCTCTCAACTTATAAAAAGATATACAATTATATAAATTGATCATAGCTCTTAAAATTCAATAATATTTTTTCATTGTTATACCTTTACACTGTCAAGTAACTTTCCAGTAGTTGACTGTGTTAAGAGTTCTTTGAACTCATTGTTCAATTTTCTATAAAGCCAGAGACGAACTCTTTCAGCATCACGCAGTTCGTTGAAAAGAAATTGCAATGTAAGGTTTATCGCTAGGTTCTCATTTCCTTGATAAATATTTTGTCGAGCAGTGTTACTATTAGCATTTGTTTTTTCATTTTGAATCTTATCAAGTAATTCCTGAGGTAGCTGTGCTTTTCCATGTTTCACTTCCTCCTCTGGAGGCTTTGCTAAGGGTCCAGTTTCCAAATATTTTTTCAACAAGTAAAACTCCAATAGTAGCGTACATATTATACCGCACACAAATGTTACCGTAGCTACAATAATTGTTTCAAAAATGTCCATATTAAAACTCCAACTATAAGTATTGCTCTCTTTCTCTCTCTCTCTCTCTCTCTTTCTTTCTTTCTTTTTCACTCTTTATTTGCCAGACTTATTTTTCAAAATTCAAAGTTTTGAATAACTAGTAGTCGGTAAAGTAATGTTAAAAGAAGGCACTCTTGATCGTATAATCATATAGAAAAATTAATAATTTATGTATTTATATAAACTGAAAATAACTTTAAGTGAAAAGCAAGAAAACTATTGTCAGTCTTAAAAGAGAAATTTGATTTTGTAATTTCTTTATATATTCTTATATATAATATATATAGATATACATATATATATGTATATGTATGTATATGTATATGTATATGTATATATTTATATATGCATGTATGATGATGTAGGTATGTTTATGTATAAATACACTTTATAAGAACGTAGTCACACAATAATTCATGATATTAATTAATGATAACTTTTTTAAGAGAAATAATTTCACATTAAGACGTTCATGATGATTTCATAGTTCTTCTCCTCTTCACGGGTGAAAATAATTTGAAGTACTTTCACCTGCCACTTGGATACGATAATATTACGAGTATCAGGTATTTCATTAAAATGTCTTCTTCGTAGTACATGACGAGTATTTGAGGAAATTAAAGGATTTAATAAATAATATACGATAAATATTCTTTTCACATATTATTCTGTCATTATTATAATACTGCGTATAATAGAGGTTAACCAAAATAAGGAAAAAAGATATTAAATACTAACAATAAGTCAAAAGTTCTCTATCGATTTATACGAACAGCCATGTTAGTTTCGTTCCAATTGTCATTTTGACAGATCACCTTTCGCCAAATTCGAATTAAGTCAAATGTTTAACAATTAAATAATAATATATTCACGACTACATTTAATTACACGTCTTAATTATGTTCTTTTGTTTATTAGTATTGTTGTTATTATTATTATTATTATTATTAAAATTTGCATGAATATAATTATTTTATATAATTAATAGATTTTCCTTTTTTTATTTGAAGTCTATAATAGTTCGGTTTAGTATGGCATATGTTTCAAAACGCGAATCATAGGTTCTACGTATTTTCTATTCACGCACGCGTAGGGTATATTCGATACACAACACACACATTCACCCACACACAGATATAATCGACTGGTCAAATATACGTAATACACACGTATTATTTAAACGTTCTTTTTAGTTTCTTATTTTCCCATCAGAGGGGGACTCATTTTCTACGTCTCGGATGATAAAACAAAAACCTAGATATTTATATACGTCGGTAACCGTTTAACCCCTCAGAACATCCAGAACATACGTCTTCCATACCACAGTCGTTACCACGGAGGATAGATACCAGGAGTCCGAACGTAATGTTAAAAGAATGGTATCAATTTATGGAACAAGATATTTTGCCGGTAAGGCGCGCTGCTTTTCACAGAGTACTCGTTTAAATATTTACGCGGGAAGTCTTGTTGTTATTGACAGTTCTGAAAAAAAATATTTTGAGAAACGTGGAATTAAATAAAAGTTTAAAGAAATTTTTAGAAACCTCAAACGTTTTCAACACAGAAATATCGAAAAGTTTAAGAGATAATCTGCAAAGTTAAAAACATCTGATATTAATAAATCATAATACAAAAATCAGTAGGCACCAAACCATTTTGTTTAAAAAAAAAATAGATTTATGCGAAGAAAAATTTTAAGAAATTGAGTTTATAGTTCATTTTAATCTTTCCATGTAAAACTATTAAAAATTGTCTCTATGAAAATTTATTAATAAAGATATTTTTAAAAATTGTCAAATGCTTATTTATTTGAGTATCACGATAAATATTTGGAGAGGATTAGGTGAGGTCTCCAACAGAGCGTAGATCAGTATCGTAAAACAAGAGTAAGCCGTTTAGGTATGCCAGGTCAGATATAAGTCTTTATTGTTTCTTTCTACAGTCAATCAATTTCTTTCGTCTAGTCGCTTTCTAAGTCGGATTCGAACTGATCGTCGTTCGGCAAACTTCGGCCCGGGGGGATCGGGCCCCCGGCGCGGTACCAGTCTCGGACGACCGCGGCGCTGCTGAGCGCGCACCGCCACAAATATACTTGATGAAAAAAAAAAATAAATAAGTTATTGTCAAACATATTATTTATTAATAGTACAAATAAAACATATTTAATATTTAAAAACCAAATTATTATAGTTTTAAAAGTATCCGGAATATTGCTTTCGTAATGGAGAATTTTAAATTATTTTTTAAATTAGAGTGATTAATTTTTTTTTATTGATGGCAAATATGAGTTAAAATAATTTCGAATTTTTTCGAGATTTTTGAGATTTAATTTTTCTTTCCGTAGCACTTTTATTAAAACATTTGACAAGAAAATGCCCCCGCATTATTAAAAAATTGTTAATAATTTTTTTGTTAATTCTTTCTTATACTCATCACAGCCAACAAAAATCGAGATATTCCTTTTAGAAACATCATCTAATATTTCAAACATTGTGTCAATCTTCACTGTTTTTGTACCAACCACCATTAACACAACTTCTTCTAAGCTTTTTATTTAATTTAATTTATTTTTACATTCACGAGTCAAGTTAACCAGTCCGTATTTACGTGTAATAATAATAATAGTATTGGTACGTTCTGAATACTTGTGCAGCCAGTGGCAAAAAAGAGTACTATGATCTGGGTCAAGAAATGACTACCACAAATAATGTGAAAAATCCTATACCGTTCGGACTCCTGGTCTATCCTCCGTGAGTGGCGACATAAACTGTAGAATAATTTTGTGGTTCAAATTTTGTTTACAGTATTATTAATTATTATAATTCAGAAAAATAATCCTAAATTTTGTAAAATTTGTGATTTTAATTTATCAAAATTTTATTTTCAAAAACTAATTATTAAGAAATGGTTAACTCGTGTTATTTATGTAATAGAAAAGCATCTAGAGCTGACAATATTTCAATGCATAGGTAAAAATAAAATAAATACTTCCAGAATTCAATAAAAATGAATTATTTTTTTACATTGTTCTAAGCAATAAAAATAAAATTATTCATTATCATTTTATATTTGAAAAAAAATTTTATTTTCCTCATAAATAAAATAAAAAGTTATTATAAAAATATATTTTATTTGAATTACTCGACGCGCGTTTTCCCGTATGCAAATGATGCACAGAACTGAGCTGGAAGCTCGGAGGATAGAGAAGGTGACGTTATCTGTCTCACTTTGTCGGAACAGCTTCCACTTATGGAAACTGTCCTATTCGTATATCTATATATATATTCAAGATGGTGGCTAGAAACTACGGAGACAGCCGAAATATAACGGAAACATCCGAATAGAATTATTTTTGTGCCTGACTTTACTTACGCGATGAGAGAAACTCTCGCAGTCAATAAATAAATAATTTTATTTTTATTTTTCAAGTTTAAATAAAAAATTTTTTCACTATCTTGTAAAACATTAAATTACAGAAAGGTAGAAAAGTTTCCAAGGGGTCATTCCATTTAAAATTAGAAAGAAAAAAAAGTTTTAAAAACAGCCTAAGAGAATCTCTCTACACGATAGTACTGAAGTGTTAAGCTTCTATAATATTTGATGTGCTTGTATTGGAGTATTTAGTATAATTGTTTTAGTTTTATGATGTTCGATACATATTGTATTTATTTATTTATTTGTTAGCCTGGTCTTATGTTGATAAAGATTGTATTGGAAGGCAATGCGGATAGATTGTAAGGATTTCTGTCAAACGATTGCAATGGGAATATACCTCAAACTTGTAACAGGGATAATTATAAAGACAGTTAAAATTATTAAATATACAATGGTTTGAGTATATAATTAATAAAATGAAGCTGATAAAATCAGATTTAGTAACATTTTATCTTAAATATTTTTGAAAAAATATCTTTTAAAAAGAGCCCTGATATTTGAAAAAGTAGGTATTAATAAATTAACAAATTTTAAATAATTATAGGTTCATTGTTTTTAATTGTCTTAGTCTTATTTTTTAAATATATATCAATAATTTTAATATGAATACGTCAACATGCAACTATTTACATACGCAACATTCACACAATGACCTTTCACACTTAATAAAGTTTAAAGCATACTTATATGACGTGTAAACTGTACAATATTATGTTTAAAAATAAATACAATTGTAATAATTAACATTGCTGAAGTTTATCTTGCAATTGTGCATATCGCATTTGTAATATACGTTCACGTTCAGTTTGTCTGTTAACATCTTCAATAAGTGCATTGACTCTTCTTGGAACTGCTGCTTCCTCTTGATTTTGTAAAAATTTAAATGTCGAAAGCTCCAAATGGGCTTGTTCTATTTGTTCGCATAAATCATGTAATTGTTTGATTAATACTTGTGCCCTGGTCTGAAAAAAAAAATGTTAAGATTAAAACTTATGCTAATTATTAATATTTTTATCATATATTTATAATTCATTTTATATTTAACTATATACATATATACATTAAATAATTACCTGATAACCTCCTGTTAAGACTTTTAATTTCCTTTCCATTCTAGCGGCTTTTTTAGCTTCACCAGTCATGTGCATCCGATTTTCTTCCAATTTTCGTTCGCAAGCTTCTACTCTATCTTTTTTGGAGGCTAAGGTTGCTCTCGTATACCGTTTTTGTGTTTCCAAATATAATATCTGCGACAAGCATTCTTCCCAAACGGTTGTATATGCATCTAAACTTAAATCTCCATGTGCCATACCATCCTTAACAACATTCATTTCATCTGTGAGTAACTTTTTCGCTGCATCCAATTCCTCTTCCTCAAAATTTATATAAGGATGTTGTTCGAGGTACGCTTGTGCTTGAGCTAAAGAGTTGGAAGAACTTTTTCTATTCTGTTGTACAGGATTTTGAAGTGCATCATATTGCATCATTGTAATCATTTCTCTTTTAATTAGCTCTTCTGCTCGTTGCATATCCGTTAGTGAAGTATCCACGAAAGGCCTCAAAATATTCATATTAACGTCAACTGGCCTTGGCAAATCCCGTTGTATAACCTGTGATCTACGAGCTAATTCCCTTTTCTTTTGTTCTAGTAATTCTTGTTGTTGTCTAACATCTATATCAGCTTGATCTTCAACTATGTCATTTGCAGGAGTAGAGGTATTTTCATCTACACTTTCATCATCAGGAACAACTATTTCATAATCATTTCGTGGTGCTGGCAATGCTATTAAGCCTGCACGTAATTGTTCTTTAGCTTGTTTCTGTATCAACGGTGTTTCAGATCCAGCAATACCATCATCTGGATTAATGTTAAGTTTATCACGAACTGGTGTTGCCAAAACTCCATTTTGCTGTCGTGAAGATGCCGGTGTATTAAACGAATTTAATGGTGTTCCATCATTACGCTGAGAACGGAAAGGAGTTGCTAGAATAGTATTTGGAGTTGCAATAGCAGGTGTTACAGGTACAACGCCAGAAAAATCAGAATTATTTAACGGTGTATTTATTCCACCTTTCAATGGAGTATCAACATGCGTTAAAGCCATAACGTTTTGAGCTTCTTGAAGAATTTTATCTTGCACAGCTGGAGTTCTGGGAGTTACAGCAACATTTGTTGGGAGAGAATAATCAGCTAATAAACTATCCGATAGAGTAATTCCACTTTCAGTAGCTACTTCACGTGCAACCTCTGATGCACGTCCAAGTTTAACCACTTGCTGTAATTCTTGATCAGATATCTGTGGTTCAGGTAAAACAAGTTTACTTCTTTTAATCATTGGTTCTTCATTATTAAGCATTCCCATTGGAATATCATTTTCTTTGCGCTGCTTCAGCTTTAGCTTATCTTTCCTACGTTCTATTTCTTCTTTCTCCTGTTTATGATCTCCGTCTAATTGTTGTTGTCTCATTTTAGAAAAATCTATTGAAAGTGGATCTATATGTTCGTTAGAAGTATCATAAAATCCTGGAGCAGGACGTTTCTCAAAAGGTATTTCAGAATTATAATTTAGTCCACGCTTGCGCTTATTTTTTTGTGAGACAGTGATGCCAGCAGCACGAAGTTCTCTACGCTTTTGTAAAGCTGCAAGCCTGCGTGCTTCTTCTAATTGCTTTTCGCGAGCTTTTCGTTTAGCTTTTTTCCCTTGAGTGTTAGCTAGTCTTGCACGAGCTTCTGACAACATTTCCAATTCATCTTCGTCCATGTCTTTAGGATCAGGCCTGGCAGGTTTTGTTTCAGGATTAGGATCTATTTCACCCGGTTTTAGCTTACGAGGATCATCAGCTGCATCGTCTCCTTCCTCTTTTTTTTGTGCTTGATCCAATAAAAATTCGTATCTTTCTAAGCATTGTGCTGCTGTTCGTCCTACAATAGGAGCTATAGTTCTCCATTGCGTGGGCATGAGTTTGGCTAAATGTAAGAGCTTTTCATCTTCTTCTCTGCTCCATTCTGTTTTTTTAATACTTGGATCTAACCATTCAAACCAACGTGCTTTACATTGTTTTGCGGATTTTCTATGTAATAGTGAAGCTATACGACTCCATTGGTTTTTTCCATATTTCATTACAGCAGCTTTTAGAATCTCATCCTCTGTGTTACGCCAAACACCACCTTTTATCATTATACGCGGCATTTCGATTTATCTTTAATTTTAAACTATTGAAAAATATTTTGAAAAAATTAGAAAGTACTTGGCCAGTTTAAATTATATATATATATATATATATATAATCGGTTTTCAATACTCTAAATATTTCTGTCGCGTACTTTACAATAATCACAACAAACACAATAACTCGACAAGGTTAATTCTTCGAGTATTTCATAACTCTAGTAGTTTTTAGGTACGTCTGCCGAAGTTAGCACTAGCAGCCGCGAGATGTCGGCACCGTCCTGGTGCGAGACGTCACAGCTACGGATAGTCGACCATGTGGTGTCAGCACCGAGCAGGTGCAGGACGCCACAAATTAATAGACGGAGAGCTGGCTACATAAAAATGCATTTATCAACTTCAAGATTGATTTCTATTGAAAAAGGTACCTTTGGTCTAGCTGAACATAAATCTGCAAGTCTGCTATCGCAAAACTGTGGCCTAAACGATTCAAAACGTGAAATTTAGGTGTGAAAAAAATGATAAGCTTCAAGGATTCTAATTATGGAAAATGCTTGTATTTATATTAAGGAATCGCGAAGAAATATTGGCAGACAGTTTGCTCGGGGTTAAAGTGCCGGCAGAGCGCGCCAAAGGGGTGTAAAAATTAATAAAAAAAAATCACAAGGTTCATGAACAAAAACTTTTTTATTTTATTATTTAAACATTAAGAAAACAATTTACAAAATGGCAGACAAAAATTTTGGGGCTAAAGCCTTGGCAGACGGCTTGAAAAAGCGCGCTATAATAGAAGATTTGTAATCGCGCTCAACGCGCTTGATATTTAATTATGGAATAAATATGAAATTATTATACTGTGAATATATTGTTAGAAAGACAAAAAGTGACACTATTTTATATATATTCATATCTTTAATAATCGAATATTGCAAAAATATTAACAGATGCTACTCAATTTCGCTGGCAGTGTCTGATTCAGATGGAAAATCATCTTCGCTTTCATATATCGAATCTTCCTCAGATTCGATTCCTGCATTATCGCCTGAAATATAGTAGGATTTTTACACATTGAAGTAAAAAGAAATGTTATATATTCTATGATAAAGTATTTTACCTTCAATAATTTCAGTATCAAGTACATCTTTTACTATACTGGGCAGCTGCGGTCCGTCAAACCAGTTGAATTTATATTTGTCTTGGGATATTAACCATCCACAATTCTCTGGTTTTAAAATTGACGGTATTTGTTTGTAAGCATTTTTCCATATTGTGGCAATATATTTTGTTCTTAATAAATGCTGCGTCAATTCAGTCTGGCTGGGCGGTAAAGTCGAAGCATCAAAATTCTGTAATTTTTTTTTCTGGAATGGTTCATCTAAGTCCTTTAGTTTATAAGTTTTTAAAAATAATGCGAATCGGGCACTATTTACAGAATTCATAGACTTAAAACTATATAAATTGCAAACAAATTTCTCGAGCACCGTAAATACGCTATTTTCGTCACAGTCTTCAGAGCCTATTTGATTAAAAGCTTCTTGAAATCTCGTTCTTTCTGAGTATCTGTAAAGGGCGTTGCTTTCCCTTCCTGAATAATGCAGGATTAAAATCGCAGCCAGTTAAGGCATGAAATCCTGGCAATGATTGACAGAATAAATCACCTAACGTTACATACAACGCTGAAACGTCAATGATTCTTTGTCTATTCCAAACTTCTGTTTGTATATAAACTTTGCTACTTTGTCGAACATTAATTTTATTAGCTAATATTATAATTAAAATGTCTGTATCGGAGCATTTTATTATAATATTTGCTGTTGATTCAATATTGCACGCGTGGTATACAATTTTTGTATCTGTTTCTTCATGCAAATAGAGCGTAAAATTATCATTAATTGAAAATAAAATGCTCTCATTTTGAATGAAACATGAAAGTTTAATGATGTCTTTAAAAGATTATGAAATAAAACAGAAATTTAGTTGAACTAATATCGAGAAAACGATGTAAATAATTTCTTTTACCTGTCGGTAATAATCTATAGATTTGTCGATAAGTTAAATACCAATTACTACCCCAATCGACTAGTAAGTAAAATAGGAACTTACTTTTTTAAAAGGATGGGGATGTACAAAGTCCATTTTTCGCGTAACTAAAATCATCAAATATCAAAGAATATAATATTTTTGAAGTGAAAACTTCTTAAGAATTGGTGTGATTTGAAAAAATGAAATGCGGTGATTTAATGGAAAAACGAAACCGCGATGTTGTGAGGAAAGGAAACGTACAATGTAGTGAAGGAAAGAAACGGCCTTAATACTGCGTAAGAAGAGAAAAATAGACAAGCATATCATTATTTATAAATCATCATTATTTATAAAAATATTTATTTGCAAACATTTTTTAAACTATTTTATCATTTACTTTCTTTGTAATTATTATAAAAATCTGCGCCTGTATGAATGCAATCTCTTAGACACACTTTGAGAATGTGTTGCTGTCGGGTAATTTAACAACTACAAGTAACATAGAAGAGTTAAACTCAACAAATATTTATTTTATTATTTGAAATATATAACGTGACTTTTCACGGAACTAAATATGCGTTTATACAACGTGGTATCCGGCAGACAAGTGAAGTAGATTTTTTCACTCGTTCCAATCGTATTTTTCCTAAGTTGGCAGACCTTGCGGTGGAACTGGCGCGCCACCATGCGAGCGTCACTTTAAGTGTTGTAGGTTCGTCAAAAATGTGTAGTGGATGCGTATCTACAGTCACGCCTCTGCAGACCGCTTATACAACTATACCTCAAATGATAAAACAGACCAACAACACATAAAACAATGAGAACAATATCTAATGGCATTATGCACGCTACACGACACACAACGCATTGTATTCACCACGTGTTCCAAAGACTTAATTCAACTACTTGTTATACTTATTAGATACAGTTTTATTAATAAAGTTTTCTATGTACGTTAACCATTTTGTATAACTTTAATCTCGTGGTATTAGTAAGCAGTGATACCACAAATGTTGCTTGCGAGCGCCATCTTTCAGGACTGAATTTATTTCTGCCCGAAAGAATGACAACCCGTCGTATATTCCTGTACAAACAGGTTTGACTTCAAACGAATTCCGTCCAAGTAGATGGCGCTCACAAGCAACATTTTTAAAGTGTGTCTGGTGGGTTGCTATCGAACTGGCGCGCGTTTTTATAATTAAATTAAAAATTAATTAATTAATTAAAAATTAAAAGTACACATAATATTATAATAATATTATATAATAAATTATCCTTGAAAGTTGTTTATTTAAAGGTTTAACTTTTAACTTGTGTGATATGCACACATGTTTTTTATTGATAGTATATATAATACAGTTAAATTATATAATAAAATTTGTTACGATTTATGTAGAAATTTGTATATAAATATTGTATTTCTTTGCATGATTTTATTGCATTTCTTTACATACAGTACATTATAGCACACCCTCCCCACATGCTAGATTCAATTTTGTTTAGCCTTACTACACGAAGGAAAATTTCTCTTCTTTTACATATTAAATATTTTATTTCATGGATTGTTTTATAAAATATTTATGATAGTAGGTGTTATTAACATATTGTTAATTAACATATTGTTAATCAAGAATTTTTTGAAGAATTTATTCTTTATTAAATTAATGAATATTCCTTTTTCGTATGATAAATAGTATAATAATAGTTCAAAGCAGCGTTTACTGTGTCAGTACCTATTTCCATTGCATTTTCATCATAAACAGCGTGATACGAAAAAAATGCGTATTAGGAGTTAAATATGTTAAAAACTTATTGCTAAATGCGATTAATTTGCATGGAATAAGTCTGAATATAGATAGTATAAAAGAATGCGAAGTTTATTCGTCATTTATTCTGTTGTTCTCATATAAATTATATAAAAGTCTGCATGCGTTTATTAAAATTACAAGAAATACGCTTTACATATCGTGATATTACGAATTTAAAATATATATTCAAAAACGTAAGCAGAGAGTTGATATTTAAACAAATTTATTCAACGATGAATTGATCGATATTAATACGGCTTTATTTATTAAACAAAATTTGTTTTATTTGTTAATAAAACCAATTATATGTTATAAATATGTTTATATTTATTTTTTTTTATATTAAGTTATATTCGTTAATGATGCACGATTAACTATTATCCCAATAATATTAAATATTAATAATATTTGAGTATTATAAATAATAATAAATAAACATAAAATTTTGTAATAAATAATAATTTATTGGAAATAACATATATTAGGTGGGGGAAAACGAAATCCATTATTTTTTTGATGGATGGCTTTAATGATCGATATCTCGTAAAGTATCCATCAGACAATTTGAAATTTATGCTACTTAGAAAGGTGACATTTAGAGCTAGAAAAAATTTTATTACCGTTTTTTGTTTGGTCTATTCAGTTGTAACTTACAGGGTGTTAAAAATTGAAGTCAACAAAGAGGAAATTCGGTACATTTTACAATTTTTCTTTGATAAAGGCGAAAATGCAAGCCAGGCGGCTGAAATTGTGAATGGTGTTTATGGTCCCGATACTGTAACAGATAATTACGTCTAATTTTGATTTCCTCGATTCGGTTCAGGTATTTTTGATGTTAAAGATGCATCTCGCACAGGCAGGCCCATAGTCGAAAATGTCGATAAAATTACAGAAATAATTGAAATTGACCGGCATATTAGTAGTCGTAACATCGCCCAGGAGCTAAAGATCAACTATAAAACAGTTATAAACCATTTGCGCAAAGCTGGATTTAAAAAGAAGCTCGATGTTTGGGTGCCACACCAAGTAATACCAAAAAACATGATAGGTCGAATTTCCATCTGCGAAGTCTTGGCCAAACTCAATAAAATCGACTCATTTCTTAAACGGATGGTGACTGGAGATGAGAAATTGGTCACATACGATAATATTGTGTAAAAACGATCGTGGTCAAAGCACGATGAAGCAGCTCAAACGGTGGCCAAACCAGGACTATCGGCCAGGAAGGTTCTACTGTGCATTTGGTGGGACTGGAAAGGAATCATTTATTATGAGTTGCTTAAATATGACAAAACACTAAATTCAAATCTCTAATGTCAACAACTTGGCCGTTTGAAGCTAGCGATTGACCAGAAACGGCCAGAATTGATCAACAGGAGAGATGTTGTGTTCCATCAGAACAACGCTAGGTCACACATGTCTATAGTGACTTCTCAAAAGTTCCAAGAGGTTGGTTAGGAGGTTTTGATGCATCCATCATATAGACCAGACCTTACACCAAGCGATTACCATCTTTTTCTCGCATTGCAAAACTGATTGAGTAATAAAAAATTGACATCAAGAGAGGACTGTAAAAGTCGATTACTAGAGTTTTTCGCAAATAGGGATCAAGACTTTTATGTGACAGACATTGTGAAGCTACCTTTAAAACAGCAATAAATTAACGAACAAAACGGTGTATATTTGACCAAAATCGGATAATCCGAACTATGTTAAATAAAGGCTTGAAGTTCACGTAAAAATAATGAATTTCTTTTTCCTTAACTTAATATGAGTCGCTATATTGTTTTTACAGTCACTAATATTTTCTATTTAAATGCGATAGTATTTAATTTGTGAAAGTAAGTAAAATGAGATAAATAATTAATTGTAAATGTAATAAAGTATTCTTAAATCGAGTAAGAGGTATATAAAAAAAAATGGAATTAAAAAACAAGTAAAGAAAAATTATTCTATGACGTTAGTTTTGTAGAAACAGAAACGGCCTGTGTCAAAGGTGTGTCAAAGGTGTGTCAAATATGCCTCGAATGTGTTACACAAGGTGTATTTTGATATCACAAAAAAAATGTAATGTGACGTATAGATTTCCATTTAAAACAGTACATTATTTGAATTGTTAATAAGATTAGAATATAACTTAAATTTATTCTTAGAGTTAAATAAAAAAAGACAAAAGATTTGGTCATATTGGATCGCTCATATAAAAGCTTCATCGAGACAAACAGAACTTATTCCGATAGTATTGTTCTTGTTGACACATTCTAATAATATGACGTTAAAAGATTTTGACGATGATGCGGTTGTCATCTCTGGAATATCTGGAAGATTTCCAGATTGTGACAATATCGACGAGTTAAAAGAAAAACTATTTAATGGAATCGATTGCGTGTCCTCGGATCATAAAAGATGGAAATTCTGTGAGTAAAAATTAAATTAATTGTTACCTAAAACTATTAATCTGTTAACCGGGGAGTTGCCTTTTTAATTAAGCAGCACTTTTTATTATTTATTTATTATTTATTATTATTTATGCTTAAAATAAATTAGAAAACTAAGTAATATATATTTTTTCGTTTATTTATATATAAAGTACAAAGTTTTGTACCTTGTACTTTATTGTACCTTGTAACTTTTAACACGTTCCGTGCCAGGTGTACCACCAGTTGTACAGTTACCATTAGATATATTTATTTGATGCATTGAAAATTTATGTTAATAACAAATTTAATTCTGTACAAAAATATTTCTACTAAAATATTGATGCATTATGCAAAATGCAATATAGAACAAAGCACATAAGCTTGTTTAATTGATATATTTACAATAATTAATAAATACATGTAATGATAGATTTTGTTAAAGCAAAATTTAATGGTCTGAATGACAAGTCCAGTAAAAATCATGTGTGCAGATCACACGTATTAGAAGTGAGACCTTCAAAAAACTAAGTTTCGAGAGAATGAGACAAATGTAGAGTATCAAGAGTAAGATAATTATAGGATTTATTTATTATAATATTGTAACCATATATAACAAAGAGCACCTGTATGATCAGCGGGTGGAATAGCTGATAAAAACTACACTTTTCCAAATTCAAGCAATAAAAATGAAATGCTGAATGAGATAGTCATAGATAAACACTACAATCGTAGGATGTTTACTAAAGGAAATATAATTCGTCGTAAACAAAGTAAATATAAAATATCCTTTTTGTGAATCTCCGGTATAACATGTTATTGTTTACGATGATTTTCGAATTCTCACTTTAATCTACATTTTTGGGCTGTCTAAAAAACATTTTAGGAATGACGAAATAAAGACGTTACGAAAAACATATGGAAAATACTGCTGGACTGAACGAAGGTTCTGGTACAGATTTAATGAAAGATCTAATAGAGATCTTTTCGAGAAATGTTTTTGAAGTGAAAACTTCTTTAGAATGGGAGTAAACTGCAAAGTAAATAAACGCGGTCGGTAGGAAACGAAGCTATGTAACGAAGCTATGAAACGGCTGCTATACTAAATAATGAGAGAAAAAGAGACAAACATATAGGATTTAGCCTGCGAGAGAATGAGACGGAATGTAGCTATACAGTTTTTCCTATTCTCGGTCTCCTCTTTATGCTATGCTTCGTAGTTATCGCTCCTGGTT